TGAATTCATGTTGTTTTGAGAAATTACAATTTTGAAGAGTCTTTGGTCCTGAATACATTGTTCTAAATATCGCTACCTTAGAATATAAGTTCTATCTGACATAGTTGAGGCCAGAAACCAAATGTTCTAGATCTATCTGCTTTATCAAACTCGTGAGATCTTGTTCTAGATCTGTCTGCTTCATCAAACTCGTGAGATCACTCGGAGTTGTTTTCAAGATTTTCAAAGAATTGCATTAAAAAAAGCTTGACATAATTGTGAAACTCAATTTTTTTTACTGCAAGTTTATCAAAACTAGGTTCTGAGCAGAGAGAAAGCATCACGACGAATACTTCTTGTTGATTTCTTTTTAAGGAACCAAAAAATTCAAAACATAAAAAGAACATGTTGGTACAAGTGTCCTGAGCGTTTGACAAGGATTATTCTTAGTACATTTTCACGGCAAAACGAGCCTAGTTTGCTACTTCAACTTTAAGGTGATCGATTCCGTTCTTTTAGGAACCGACATTCTCTTTGACCAACATACTGTGTCGAGTGGAAAACGAAATGGTACTAAGACTTCAATCCAACTGCAAACTCACTTTGAGCTCGTATGCTTTCTGGCAAACCGGGTTGTCGCCGCAACGGACGCAGAACTGAAGGGCGCCATTTTGGACAACAAGACTGACAAAAGATGTCAGGTTTACCCCGCCATTGAAGAGCAGCAGACCGTTCTCGTTGGTTATTTGGAAACTCACAGTCACGTGGAGGAAGTTGGACTTGCGGAAGTACAAGCGTGAGTAGTAATGGCCGGCAAAGTTAGGGTGGCGGACAGTTGTTGCTAAGAGTTGAGAAAAACAATAATACAAAGGAATTCACAAATGGAAATTTAAATTCTGTTTTTGGCTCAGTTTTGAGTTTGAGATTCACATCCCTTTACGAAGTAAGAGGGACCTCCAAATAAATTAAATGTCCGTCTCTATTAGGCTGATGTGAAGATTCTAAGAGAATTCTTTCGAAAATTTAGGGTTAGAAACGGAACTGTTGAAATTTGAACTCATGTTGTCTGTTTTGATTGACATGCCCCTTCCGCCCCCCCCCACACACACACACACACACACACACACACACACACACACACACACACACACACACACACACACACACACACCAATCGATTCCCGTAATCCAAGAAGCATGCGGATTCCCTTGGTAAAGAATAAGAAAACACCTTTTCAAGCGTATGATTTGATTATTGGATTAATTTTATGTATACATGTGTAATCTTTGAGAATATAATGCAGCATGACGTTGCTGGATATTAAAAAGGGATAAGGAACCATGGACAGAGAATATAATTGAAATTGAGTAAGATATGAAAAGGTAGAGAAGAGAGAGAGGGAGGGAGAAAGAGACAGAGACACACACACAGAGAGAGA